TTCCTTCCTTCCTTCTTTCTTTCTTTCTCTTTTGGTACATAATGAGGATGCTAAGAATAAGTCTACGTTATATACCCCAAAGAGCATTTATTACATCCATCAGGAAACCCTTGTCTAGACATTTAGCCGGCATCTTAAGAGCCGGTACAAGCCTTTCAGTCAACGTTGCTTTTCACGGTGGCTACATAAAATGTTGTGGAGTCAAGCAAACAGATAAGCAGCAAGCCATTCTTCAAACATCTCCATGAAATGAGCAAAAATAAAGTGAGAGAGCGCTACATTTACTTCTGTCACTCCCCAGGGCAGAAGACTAGGTCAGGTAGTCTGAGATGCTGAGAAAATTGTTCCGTTTCTTCCCACTGAGCTGTCATGGTGTTTCACGCTGTGAATAGCTAACACCCTTCTATGACAATGAAGCAAATGATGCTTTCCTCTCCTTTGTATTTATTTATTTTATTTATTGCCATTTTGGTCATGCTGCATCACACCGCTGTTGGCTCAGCTGATTGTCAGTGCAAGTCAGATTTCCAGTGTGTGGACAGGTTGCCACACCAAATAGTCTTGACGGAAACTTGTTACAGCTTCACAGTATGATTCTTAACACTTCTTCCCCTCTCCCCTGGTATAGTTAGATGGTTAAACAAAAAGGCCATAACACTTCAAAAAGAGCAAGATGGGCAGAACATTTCCTACTGTGCAACTAGCACCTTGAGCCTCCAGATCAGCTTATACTGCTGAGATGGAACAGCATCTTAAGCTGTTGCCACAGCTACAACAGAGGCCAATGAAGCCATGGGTGAATTTGATTTGTATCTATGCTACTTTTGAGTGTTTTAACCCAAAAGGTAGGGTATCTATCTATTCATAAATATGTATTTTAATATATACCCACATTACAATATTCTTTCTAATGCAGTGTTAACCTTCAGGCACATGAATAAAAGATGTTGCATTGAAGAAATTCTAGGCTGTTTTGTGACCTCATGGGAAAGCTAATGTATGAAGGATTAGCAGAAGGGTTAGGAATAAGGCTAAGATCATGGCCACTGGTCCCATCACCTCCTGGGAAATAGAAGGGGAAGATATGGAGGCAGTGACAGATTTTACTTCCTTGGGCTCTGTGATCACTGCAGATGAGGACACCAACCACGAAATTAAAAGACACCTGCTTCTTGGGAGGAAAGCGATGATAAACCTTCACAGCATCTTAAAAAGCAGAGACATCACCTTGCTGACAAACGTCCGCATAGCCAAAGCTATGGTTTTTTCCAGTAGCTTTGAATGGAAGTGAGAGCTGGACCATAAAGAAGGCTGATCGCTGAAGAACTGATGCTTTTGAATTGTGGTGCTAGTCCCCTGGACTGCAAAGAGAACAAACCTATCCATTTTGAAGGAAATCAACCCTGAGTGCTCACTGGAAGGACAGATCCTGAAGCTGAGGCTCCAATATTTTGGCCATCTCATGAGAAGAGAAGACCATGGTGTTGGGAAAGTGTGAAGGCAAGAGGAGAAGGGGATGACAGAGGACGAGATGGTTGGACAGTGTCACCGAAGCAACCAACATGGATTTGACCCAATTCCGGGAGGCAGTGGAAGACAGGAGGGCCTGCCGTGCTCTGGTCCATGGGGTCATGAGGAGTCGGACACAACTGAACGACTAAACAACAACATAGAAATAAGGCTAACTTTTGAGTTACTGCTTGATATTTTGTATTTCCTGGAGAAAGAAGTTCTCCAACACACCTGATTTTATAGTTTCAGAGCTCAGAGGACATGTTCCTCACAAGACGCTTGACATGTATGCCCTAGTAAGAACAATTACCCAACTGCAGTGGTAGGCTGTGGGGTTTTGCCACCTGAAGCCTAACAGCAAATACCACTCACCAGTGTCGCGTTTAGACAACAACCCTCACAAGCACTTACTGCCGTCTCTGCCACTAAACAGTAGCTTAAATAGATAGCAACTTCCTGCTCTTTTGTGATATATAAATTGCTTGGGAGAGCTGCCTCACTTTGTCTGATTGTAGGACTGGCTGTGCTGAAGTAGAGGCGATCACCTTAAATACACGTTTTCTCCAACTTCATTCCTCATCCGTCACAAAATTCACGGCAAGCTAGAAGGATTTATTTCTCTGAGCTGGGGGATCCAGGTGCTATGCTCATAAGAAAAACAAGAGCAGGAGCCGTTCCAAGCTCTCTTACAACCAGGAGCTTTGCCAGTCATCTACCGGCACAGCAGTATTCACTGGCAGCCAATATTCAACGGCAGCCTCTGGCATAATTCACTATCAGCTACACTTCATTTTTCTCCCCTCTGGCCACACAAAGCTGCTTGGTAACCTGCTCCTTGTCCCTCCCAATTAGCCACAGACTGGTGCTTTCGTAAGGTAGCCACCTGTCCTTCCCGCTCTGAGCTGAGGCATAATCAACGTTGGGCATTTTCCATGCTGCTAAGTGCTGCGGTAACTCTGGATTCCAGGTGTTGTTTCTTTCCTTTCCTACTTTGAGATGTAGATAATCTTTTTTTTTTTACTGCACCATCATGAAACCCATAGGCAATGGTGACAAAAGACCACTTCACAAAAGAAGAACTTCATAGGAGCCTTACCACACTGCACCAGGCTTAAAACGTTCTCCTCTTCTGAACTGCAGGCCCCTGAAACTATGATTTATTCATCCAAGAATGTGTGAGAGAAGAGAGAAAGCCTATTTCTAAGTACTGAAGGGAAAATGTGTCAGTCTCACTGTAGCTATGCTTCTCAGAATACCGCTGGGCATTCTTGTCCCATCCTAGCACTGCAGCAGGTTGCAAGATTTTCTTTGTTTTCACATGAAAATCTGTGGCATTTTTTCCCCAGCAGATTTATTTTCCAGCCCTATTTTTATACATCTGCAAGGTCCCAGTGAGCCACTGAGGCCATTCACTCTTAGGTTTAGGGCGAAGGAGGAAGATACATTAGGAACATCCCAGCTGGACCACATTCATTCATTTCAAAGCACTATCTTCCACTTAGTAACTTAAAAGCAATTCCCATTAAATTAAGTGGGACTCATTGCCACATGTATACTGTAGAGCAGAGACGGAAAGATGGAATAGTCACTACGTCAATGGTTTGAGACCACGATACTTTTTTGGAGAATCTCCTCCCAATGTCACCTGCCTAATACACCAGACCCTCCCAGGCTATGCTCCTGCACATAGAGACCCCAAGGGAGGCTGGAAAGTCATCCACAGGAGACAGGACTTTCTTTGCAGTGGCATAGACTTTGTGGAACCAGCTCCTAGAGGAGCTATGTCTGACTCCCTCCCTATTAATGTTTAGGAGGCAACTTAAATCAATGCTTTCACACTGACTGTATACCTCTTGTGCTGCTATTATAAAGAAAATTGTCTCTGGTGCCATTTGGCTTTATGCTGTCAATTGTTTTAATTGTTATTGTTTATTCGTATTTATCAATGTATGTTCCATTTTGTTGTGAACTGCCCAGAATAGTGCATTGAAATCAATCAATCAATCAATCAATCAATCAATCAATCAATCAATCAATCAATCAATCAATCAATCAATCAATCAATCAATCAATCAATCAACCAACCAACCAACCAACCAACCAACCAACCAACCAACCAATCAATCAACCAACCAACCAACCAACCAACCAACCAACCAATCAATCAATCAATCAGTTCTTCACTGCCATTGATTTAGATTGCCTCAACTTGAAAATAAATCCCAATAACAGATTTCTTTGCACTTCAAGATTTTTTCTTCTTCAAGTGAGAGTGAGCTATGAAGCACTTTTTACATTGCCAACATTTTGGTAAATTGCACAAACAAAACATCCTGACCCGTGGACAGTGAATAAGAAATAAGGATTGGCTTAAGAGAATACTGCTCCAGTGCTTACCACCTGACACATAACAAATTTGGATGTCACCTCCACGTTCATGTCCATAGTTATAACAGCTCCAAAATGGCTCTTTGACTATGCTGGCTAGGGCTATGGGAGATGCAGTTCAGCAACCCCTGGAGACCTGCCTATCTGCCACCAAGGTGCTGTGAGCAGTCAGCCTGAGGGACACATGACAAAATGAAGCAGAAGCCCATGGTTCTCCTGTGTCTAAGGAGCAAAATCCATAGACATGGATAGAGGAAAGCTCTTTTCCCTCTCACGCAAGACCACAACCAGCGGACATCCACTCAAACTGAGCGTTGGGAGAGTGAGAGCTTTAGCCAGTGTGTTGTTAGTTTGTGGAATTCCTTGCCACAGGATGTGATGATGGCATCTGGCCTAGATGCCTTTAAAAGGGGATTGGGCAGATTTCTGGAGGAAAATTCCATCACAGGTTACAAGCCATGATGGGGATGTATAATCTCCAGGCTTTGAAGGAAGAGACCTCCAAATGCCAGATGGAGGGGAGGGATATCAGGAGACAGGTATCTAGTTGTCTTGTGTGCTCCCATAGGTATCTGGTGAGGACACAGTTAGATACAGGAAGCTTGGCCTGATCCAGTTGGGCTTATGTTCTTATGACAACTACCATCCTGTGTTTTAAATAAAATGTCTTTATCAACAGCTGAATGGACCATCTACTTACCAATACTTGGATATCCAGGTGTTGAGGGGTCACCGCCACTATTTAAAGACACCATAAATGCTTTGCTGCTCAGATTGTGAGCCTCTAGTAAATCACAAGGATCGACATAAAGGAGGACACCTCCAAAGCCTGCTTCTTCTAGTAGGGAGAGCTGAGAAGACAAAAAAGGCAAAAGGAAACATCATCAGTATATGACTGTAGCAGATTGTTATTTCCATCCCAAGACTAGGAGTATGTTGCTTACCAAGATTTGCTTCCACTTGGAAGGGAGTCACTGGAAGTTTATTGACATTTGGATTTACTTGCAAATACACAAATTCGGCTTAAGTGAACACTAGGGATGAAAGCAATGTGGGCTAAATTCTTCATTATTGTCAATTTAGGCTGTTTCAATTTAGGTTGAAACACATCAGTGAAGAAACAGTGTTAGTCTGTGCAAACATAAGAGGTAATAACATAAAAAATAAAAAAGTCGACAACATTGTGGTACCTTGAAAACTAACTGCTCTGTTTCAATGTATGGATCAAGTCCACTTTTGCAGGTGTAAGAGTGGGATTATTTGGCAATTTTTTATACATTTCTCCATGAGGTTGATGGATTTCCACTCAATTCAGCTAAATTCAGTACCTTTCATAGATATAGTTTTGGAAAAGCTAGCCATGTTTGTGTGTGCAAGCATAACTTGCACACTGAAAAAAAATTTTTTTTTATTAGGGAAAAATGTATGCAGAAAATATAAACAATAAAAATCAGGTGCACAAATATTATCTATCTATCTATCTATCTATCTTTGTTTGTTTGTTTGTTTGTTTGTTTGTTTGTTTGTTTGTTTGTTTGTTTGTTTGTTTAGGTCTCTGGGTGGCTTACAATAGTTAAAATTCAATTGAAATTCAGTAAAAAAATAAAATGATTAAAATGCAATTAAAATTGCCATTAGGACCCACAGTTGATGTTATTTCAATTAAAAGCCTTCTGGAACAGGAAGGTTTTGACCTGGCGCCAAAATGTCACCAAAGTCGGCGCCAGGTCAAAACCCTCCTGTTCCAGATGAGTGGTGCTCAACTTGGCAGTAGTATGTGTTAGAAAGGACGCAGAAGTCCCAGCAAACCACAAGCTAAAATCCAGCCAACATTATGATGTGATGGAGCGGGGTAATTCTAGGCTTCATCAACAAAAGTATAGTGCCCAGTTCAAATAAAACAATACCATAACTTTATTCTGCTTTTGCCAGGCCTCAACTGGAATGCAGGTCTCCTATTCTGGGGAAAAGAATTTAAGAAAGATGACAGGGAACAGATTTTTAGTTAGTTAGTTAGCCATCCTTCAGCCTCGAAAGACTATGATAACATGCTCTGAATGGAGGTCTTGGAACAGCATCTAGTGTGGCTGAGGAGGCTAATTTGAGAGTGACAATCCCTTCCACACTGAAGACAAATCCAATCTGTCCCCTGACCAGCTCCCTGATTTTGCTCCTTTTGTGACTTCCTCTTTGCCTCAGCCTGCTGGACAAGTGTCTCTTCAAATTGGGAGAGGCCGTGATGCAACGCCTGCCTCCAGGCTGAACGCTCAGATGTCAGGGTTTCCCATCTGTTGAGGTCCATTCCCAAGGCCTTCAGATCCCACTTGCAGATGTCCTTGTATCGCAGCTGTGGTCTCCCTCTGGGGCGATTTCCCTGCACTAATTCTCCATACAGGAGATCCTTTGGAATCCAACCATCAGCCATTCTCACGACATGCCCAAGCCAACGTAGACGTTGCTGTTTCAGTAATGTATACATGCTAAAAATTCCAGCTCATTCTAGGACTACTCTGTTTGGAATTTTGTCCTGCCAGGTGATATGGAATGGATATGTGTCTTAAAGTGGCCAAGGTAGTAAAGGGCCTGGAGAAACACATTCCATGAGGAGCAGTTGAGAGCCTTGAGCATATTTAGGCAGGAGAAGAGGAGGAGACAGAATAGACATCTTCAAATATCTGAAGGGCTGCTGCATGACTGACAGAGCAAGCTTTTTCCCTCCAGTGGATTCAAATAACAAGAAAGGAGATTTCAACTAAAGGAAAAACACCTTGACAATAAGAGCTATTTGACAGCAGAAGGTACTATCTCAGAAAGTAAAGGGATCTCCTTTGTTAAAGGTTTTTAAACAGAGGCTTAATTTGCTCACTATGCTTTAGTTGTGGATTTCTTGTTTTGTCATGGGAAAGGATCTGATGGCCTGTGTTGTCCCTTCCAGTTAGGATATTATGATTCTGTCTCATGCTACCTTGGTTTATCATTATGAAAAGTGATTGCCTTTTGGGGGTTAAAGTTATGCTAAGGCAGAAGACTCTTACAACGTCTAATGTTGTATCATTTTGTAGCGTATAGAATCATAGAATAGTGAAGTTGGAAGGTGCCTGTAAGACCATCAAGTCCAACCCCCTGCTTGATGCAGAAATACAAATCAAAGGATATATGCCAGGTGGTTGTCTAAGTTTCTCTTGAATGTCTCCACTGTTGGTGCACACACCACCTCTCGGGGTAACTGATCCCATTGTTGTACTGCTCTTGCAGGAAGTTTTTGCTGATATTCAACTGAAATCTGGCTTCCTGCAACTTGAGCCCATTGTTCCATGTCCTGCATTCTGGGATGATCAAGAACAGATCTTGCCCCTCCTCTGTATGGCAGCCTTTCAAATATTTGAAAAGTGCTGTCATATCACTCCCTAGTCTTCTTTTCTCAAGGCTAAACATGTCCAGTTCTTTCAGCCTTTCCCCATAAGGCTTGGTTCCCAGCCTCCTGATCATCCTTGTCGCCCTCCTCTGAACTTGTTCCAATTTGTCAGCATCCTTCTTGAAGTGTGGTGTCCAGAACTGGACACAAGACGGAAAGTGAGGCCTTGGCTGAGAGCTATGTGGCGTCTTAGAGAGAATGGATGAATCTGTCTTCAGACATAAATTATTAAATCTCTTAGATACAATTTAATTGTGTTTTGATATTGTACTTGTTTATCTTGTTGTTAGCCACCCAGATTGGCCCGGTTGCCAGATGGTGCAGCATATAAATCCAATAAATAAATAAAAAATAAACATTTACATTAATTTTTATACACATTTCCTCCGGATGAATGCATTTTGCATCCATTTTCCTTGATCTCCTACTTTCAATGCAACTTTCCCTAATAAGCACATTTCTGTATGTATTTTTGTATGTACCTAGATTTTGAGCCAAAACATGAGAGCAATATTCTAATTCACATGTTAGTCCTGGGAGGGCTATTAACTTGCTCCACTTAAAAATGCATGCCAAATAAAATAATTCCCATCTCTATTTGGCTGTGTTCATACATGTGTACTTGCACATATCCAAAACTGACATTTTAAGTGTGACAAGACTGAACTAAAGAAGATGGCTCAATGTTAGCAGCTGCACCTAAGACAAACCTAACACTCCTAGAATGAGGTGAGGCACAAATGATGTAACTTGCTCCACTTAAAAATGCATGCCAAATAAAATAATTCCCATCTCTATTTGGCTGTGTTCATACATGTGTACTTGCACATATCCAAAACTGACATTTTAAGTGTGACAAGACTGAACTAAAGAAGATGGCTCAATGTTAGCAGCTGCACCTAAGACAAACCTAACACTCCTAGAATGAGGTGAGGCACAAATGATGTGACATTTGGAAGGAAGGAAGGAAGGAAGGAAGGAAGGAAGGAAGGAAGGAAGGAAGGAAGGAAGGAAGGAAGGAAGGAAGGGTATCCACCTGCATTGATTGTGGTAAGGAAGGAAGGAAGGGTATCCATCTGCATGGAGGATAAATGAACCAGCATGAACCACTGGTTCATGCCCATCTCTAATTTAGTTTTAGTTTTAATTTACATTTTCTCCTCCTCCTCCTATTGCATTTCTTTTTGTTTTATTTTGTTAGGCTTCAGAGAATGTGGATACAGAGTATAGCAAGCAGCTCCTGCTACCATGGTTACACAATCAATTCAGGGAAAGAAGGTGTACAATTGCAAAAAATGATACCACAGCCTTGAAACAAAACCCAGTTTCTTGGGAACAAACATGTCAGCCTTCTTTCATACAAACATCCTCAACAAATAAATTCTCTTGGATTTTTTGCATTTATAAACACGGCTTCCTAACAGCCAAAAGAATGACTCCAGGCCAATCAGTGGGAATGTATTATGAAAGTGTGAAGCGCAATTCCTGGGGGGGGGGACACATTTGTAGTTCACTAGAGGACACACAACATTTTCTCTCCATGCTTATTATTATTTGTAGGCTCAGGACTGCCAAAAAGAATGTGACTTTTCCATTCAGAGCATTATTAACAGATGGCAGTCACTCCCACAAGAAATTTTTATGGTGTTGGTAGGAAAATGGATGGGGTAGGCATTCTATTTGAACAGTTTCTATTCTTTCTAAGATTAATTCCAGGATGGGTTTGTTAATGATCTTAAACTAGCCCTGATTTTATCTCTTAACATTTGTGTGTATGTGTGAAGGGACAGAACCACCACCATAGATCTATATTATCTGGGAGTATATTGTCCCATATTGTGCAATCTATGTGGTAAACTGTTCCCCACTCAGATGGGCGCAGATAACAAGTTAGGATTACGTGTTCTTGGAGCCAGTAATTGGATTTGTGATTATGTGCTGAAGCAGATGCCAGTGACTGAAAGTTTGTAGGGATAGTGACTCTAAGTCTGGCTTTCAGAGGCCTTATCAAAGGTGCCAGAAAGAGTCCCAGAAGGAAAAGACACGCGTTCTTGGCAGTGGCTCCTCACCTCTGGAACAACCTCCCTCTGGAGATTCATGCAGCCCCCACGCTGGGCACCTTTTAAAAGTCAATTAAAAACATGGCTGTATATTCAGGCCTTCCCTCCAGCCAATATTTCATTTTCTTCTTATTTTTTCTTTATTTATTTCTTATTCTGTCTTTGTATTGTACAGCATTTATTATTGTATGATTCAGACTCAGATATAATGCCAAAATGGGGCTTGGTATTAGAGATAATGTGGCATTTGCTCATGTGCTGATAATATGAATCAGTCTTATACTGAGTGAGACCAATGATTCATCTAGCTCGGTGCTACACAGATGCACAGTTACAAGATGGGAGATACCTGGTTCCCTAATACTACAAGTGAGAA